GCAGAGCATCGAGTCTTCTTCAGTGGCCAATACTCGAGGAAAGACAAGGTCAAATGTTTGATATTTAACAGCTCTAAGGCACCCAGCTCCAGCTCCAGCTCTGATTTTTATTCATTATAGTTTAGATCCATAGAGGAATCAAAGACAAGACCTGGCCTCTGACCTGAAGGAATTTACAATCTCTATATTCTTTCAACTTTATCTCTAGACTCCAAGTATCCTGATCTCATTGTTTCCAAACATACCTTTCTTATTCCAGACTTCCTTCACTGTTTTCCCCAGGTATCCTCCTTCTTTTGGGTTATCTAAGGTAGAGCATCCTTTCAAGATCCAAATGAAGAACTACCTCTCCCTTTAGATATTTCTGGCCATGCCAGTCACATCTGGATGCCTGTGGCACTTAAAAATTTATTCAACTTACTTGGCACTAAGTATACACACTTATTATTAGAGATCACTATATGTAGACCCCCTTTCTCTATCTGAACTGAGCTCTCTGGAATCAAAATCCATCTTTTAAATTTCCTTAAAATATTCAACACTTAGGACAATAGTAGATAATCAGGGATACTCATTTTTTTTTCTTTTTTCTTTTTAAGGATACTCATTCTTAACAAACACGTACTGATAGCTCAGTACATGCCAATATTATGTCTACAAGAACACATTAAGATGATATTTTTGAAGTCTGACTAAGAAGTGTTCTCAAATGATGATGAAAAGACTGCTTTTAGAGGCTCACACCTATATTCCTAGCTACTTGGGAGGCTGAGATGGGGAGGATCACAGTTTGAGATCAGCCCCAGGCAAACAGTTCTCAAAATTCCATTTCCAAAAAGAACCAGAACACAAATGGACTGAGATGTGACTCAAGCAGTAGAGGGCCTACTTTGTTAGTGCTTGCTTTGCAAGTGTGAAACCCTGAGTTCAAACCCCAGTACCACCACCACCACCAACCCCCTCTGCCAAAAAAAAAATTTTAGTAGGGAGCATGGATTCCCATTCAGATCTCCCTTCTATACTTAGAGCTTTCCTAAGTTCTTCTTGCCACACGTGGATCCAAAGGACTCTGTGCTACTTAATGTTCCCCATGTTAGCTCAAAGGATATGGGCAACAATGGAGATCTAGCGATTACAACGTAGTTACTGATAACACTGAACGACACCAGTGTTGAAAATGAATCCTATCCTCAGAAGGCCACAAATCTACCTTGGGAAATAAAACCGACCATAATATGGGCTGCATTTACCATGTGTCAAGCATTGTGGAAGGCCAGTATCTCTTATTGTTTGATTTAATCCTCACAATGCTATCTAAGTATGCATTATTTATTCTCATTTTATTTTTCAGCAAATTGATGCTCAGAAAGGCTTACTAGTAATTTTCTTAAAGTCCCAAAGTAGTAGAATTGAGATTCAAATCCAAGTCTGTCAGACTCTAAATCACAAAATTATTACAAAGCAACACCATATAGTCCTATATAATCAATGGGAAACAAGAGGTGCAAACTGTCACTCCAGCAGGAATTCATGAAGAGCATCCATCATCAAGAAAGTCTCCATGAGGATTGCTCAGGATTTTAAGGAAGCAACAACTCTAGAATCTTTGGCGCAAAATTAAAATTTTACCTATTTCTTAAGAAAACCTAATCTAAATTAATGATAATTCTTTGGAATCTTAAAAAAAACCCTTCACAAAAAAGGGCTGGTGGAGTGGCTCAAGGTGAAGGCCCTGAGTTCAACCCACTACTGGGGAAAAAAAAAAAAACCAGAAAAGGAGCCAATGCCCATGGCTCACGCCTGTAATCCTAGCTACTCAGGAGGCAGAGATCAGGAGCATCAAGGTGGAAGCCAGCCCCGGCAAACAGCTCATGAGACCCTATCTAAAAAACCCTCACAAAAAAGGACTAGTATAAAGTGGCTCAAGATGTAGCCCTGAGTCTAAACTCCGGTATTGCAAAACCAAAACAAATCAGAAAAGGGAGAAAAGAGCCAGCCGGGCACTGGTGACTCACGTCTGCAATCCTAGCTACTCAGGAGGCAGAGATCAGGAGGATAGTGGTTCAAAGCCAGCCGGGTAAATAGTTAGCAAGACCCTATCTCAAAAAAAATCCTTTACAAAAAAGAGCTGGTAGAGTGACTCAAGGTGTAGGCCCTGAGTTCGAACCCTAGAATTTTCCAGAATATTCACTGGAGTATCACATTTAGAGAAACTAAATAGTTCATAGACACAAAAAGACACAGAGTTTTAAGGATCTTTAAAAATCATCTTGAAGACAAAGAAATTATCAGGAGGGGAAAGAAAAAGAAAAAAGAAAGAGACAGAAGGCATGACTGAACCAGTAGAGCATCTGCCTACCAAGCCAGCACCATCAAACAAACAAAAATTAGAATGATGACTACTATTAAATTTTTTATAATACACACATTTCACATATGACTACACCATCAGCTATTATTTATGAACTTATTATGTGAGAGGCACTGGGCTAAGTGCTTTAAGTATCATACATTCCTCATAGTGACTCCATCATTTAAAGCATATTTCAATCCCCCTTTAACAAAATGGCAAATTGAGGTACAGAAAGGTTAAGTGATTTTCACAGTCTGTATAGGAATTAAGTAGCAGAGCTGTAGGTCCCTGTAGATAGTTCTTACCAAGGCCCATTTTCTTTTATCATTATTATTATTATTAATTACTATTCATTTTTTTTGGTGGTACTGGGTTTTGAAAATAGGGCCCCCAGGCCCTATTTTCTTAATTATCAGGCTACAGTGTCTCTAGGGGATTAAACAGGGTAAGTGTTGGGGGTGGCAGGGGTTGTAAGGTTTTTGCCCTGTAACTCTCAGTGAAAATTCTGGACTTCCTTACACGTCTCTGTGGATTAAAAACAGGGACCCTTGGGTTCTACCTTATCTCCAAGCAATTTCAGATAGAGATAATCCTTTCAGGTCCTAGAGAAGAAATCTCATTGACATCAGGAAGATGAAAAGCTAGACAGCATGGCAATAACTGACTAAAACTGCCCCTCCCTGCACCCCAAACATTGGCATACTTATTTCTCAAAAAACACTTCTATGTTTGACAGCACCGATGTAGCAATCAGGAGACAATGGAAACCCAGCTTAGCTCCTCTCCTTCTCCAGATTTCTTTTGAAGTCCCCTCTGGATCAAATCACCAGAAATTTCAATTTTAGGGGAAATCTGCCTAATCTGGGTCACAATTTTGCTCTTTACAAAGTATAAAATTGAAAAAATTGGGTTGCCAATCCAGTGGCTCCCAAACTTAGATCTCACAGATGAATAACATTCCAAAATAAATTAGAAAGTCTAACACGAAGCTTTCTACTCTTTATTTTGCTAAGCATATATAAAAACTACATCTAATAGTAATGTTTTCATATAATAAAGGCTATTTTAACATTTGAAGTAGGAAGGAGGTTTGCGAGGACACCCCCCCCCTTCTCCAAAATAACCAGAGCAAAATGAACTGGAGGTGTGGCTTAAGTGGTAGACCACCTGCGCGCCCTGATTTCAAATCCCAGTCCCACCAAAAAAAAAAAGAAAAAGAAAAAAAGAAGAAAAAGTGGGAAGGCCAATTTCAGAATAAAGGACAGTTCTTTGAGTTTAGCTTCATGAAAAATACTTCATTTCTCTTATCTTTCAATTTTCTGAGAAATTAATTAACTGATACCTCAAGCCAGCACCAGTCTGTACACTCTACAGTTTAGAAACCGGGAAATCTATGGCCAAAAAGATAGGTCTCTTGCTCAAGGTCACAGAACATTATTTAAAGGAACCCTTCCCACTTGTCAGGAGAGAGCTAAGTCACAGCTAACAGGACTCTCCCCCACTAGCCTCTAACTCTTCTATAGGTCCCTGTCCCAGGACCATCTTCAAGTCTTTTTCTTTCTGCCACAACTGGCAGAGAAAATGTAAGACTAATTAGCAATGGGCCCCAGAGAGGAAGCCTAGGCCATGACTCTTTATTTTGCTAAGCATATATAAAAACTACATCTAATAGTAATGTTTTCATATAATAAAGGCTATTTTAACATTTGAAGTAGGAAGGAGGTTTGCGAGGACACCCGCCCCCCCTTCTCCAAAATAACCAGAGCAAAATGAACTGGAGGTGTGGCTTAAGTGGTAGACCACCTGCACGCCCTGATTTCAAATCCCAGTCCCACCAAAAAAAAAAAGAAAAAGAAAAAAAGAAGAAAAAGTGGGAAGGCCAATTTCAGAATAAAGGACAGTTCTTTGAGTTTAGCTTCATGAAAATACTTCATTTCTCTTATCTTTTTCATTTCACTGAGAATTAATTAACTGATACCTCAAGCCAGCACCAGTCTGTACACTCTACAGTTTAGAAACCGGGAAATCTATGGCCAAAAAGATAGGTCTCTTGCTCAAGGTCACAGAACATTATTTAAAGGAACCCTTCCCACTTGTCAGGAGAGAGCTAAGTCACAGCTAACAGGACTCTCCCCCACTAGCCTCTAACTCTTCTATAGGTCCCTGTCCCAGGACCATCTTCAAGTCTTTTTCTTTCTGCCACAACTGGCAGAGAAAATGTAAGACTAATTAGCAATGGGCCCCAGAGAGGAAGCCTAGGCCATGACTCCTCCCTTCCATGCCTACTTCCACCCCCACCCCCAGCCTGTTCAGAGGTGCATTCTGTAACCAACTAACTTCTGCTAAAAATACATCCTGGACTATGCAACATAACCTAAAAGTGGCTTCCTGAAACAGAAGCATGAGCATGAATTCAGCTTCTTATAAAAAAAAAAAAAAGTCCCACGCCCAAAGCTTGCAGTGACTACAAGCCTAAGAAGTTCCCCAGGAAGTAGGGAACCTCAGTCCATTCCACCCCACATTTTAACAAGCCCAAAGGTTGTAAAGCCTGCAGGGCTTCAAAGGTTGTGCACTCCTATGAATCAAAGAGAACAAGAGCTATTTAGGATCTTCAGGCCCAGACAAGGAAAATCCTTCACATACTAACCCATGCAGCACATGCGGCAAACCAGGTGGGCGTTGAACTCGTGCTCATCTTGGTAACTGGGCCACATGGTGCAGAGAAGGTCTCAAGAAGGCAGAGACTATAAGGGAGCAAGTACCCATGCTGTTCACTGCCAAGAGATTCCTAGATTCCAAAAGGAGATTCATTTCCCCAAGCTTATACTTGCCCAAAAGTAAGAGACAACCTCTTCCCAGTGATTCCACCACCTACTTTACAAGCAGCCCAGACCCGGCCAGTCTCACACATAGATTTCATCAACTTCAGAAATACTGTCTGCTTGTTGCTCCACTCTTTTCTCTCATCCAGCCAGGAATAGCATCCCAAAGCTCCCTTCCTCTTCCCAGACCCCCCTACTTTGTCTTTACAGTCAGTGCACTTAACTCAGCTGTGTCAGAAATCCCTTTATCCATCAGTGGAAGGCTGCTTGCTTGTTTGTCCAACTTGTCTTGGCTAATTGTACCAGACACTGGAATGTTGAAGAAACACAATGAATGGCTTTTTCATTCAGATAGTCCAGCCCAACCAGGGCTGGACCCAACCATGGGACAGAAGAGCAGAGCCGCTGTGGATGTCAGGACAAGTACTCCAATCCTGCCCCTTACCACTGAAATAGGGCCCACTGCTGATAAGTGCCTAATCACTAGCCCTCTGCTCTAGCTCCCTAAATAGAACAACTTCTAGGCTAATACTGCTTTCAATCCTGTTCCTGAAGGCAGGCAGGGAGGGGCAGCACCCAGGAAAGCAAGGTTCTAGAGAGTAGTCCAAAAGACTACAAGTAAAAAAAGGTAAACAGTAGCATGCCTACCCAGCTGCTCAGTTTAAACAAACCCTATGATTTCCTCAGTCACCTGACAACTTCTTTCACTCCCCACATACAAACTGCTTATAATCCTGTTACTGTTCACTAAGAAAGTGCCTCATGGCTGACTTCATCCTCCTTGACTAAGCTCTTGTTCACCCTGATAACCTGTGATAGTAGTACTCAGTGTGTTCTCCTTATCAGATGTAGCATTGGAGAGGAAGGCTCCTCTAGAAGTTACCTTGTCTCAAGAAAAAAAAGAATGCATAAGAAATAGGAAAGAAGTTCAAAAAAAAGGAAAGAGAGAAGAAAAAGAAATAAACACTTCCTGATTCATATTTAGTAACATTTTTCTTTACCAGATTGAAATTCTCTGAGTTGAAGGACTATATTTTTGTCATCATCCATCAATCTCTAACACAGTGAGAAGGTCTTGATAAACTCAGCTAATCTACTGTAATTGAAAGTTTACAGGTAATGTGCTAAGAACTTCAAATGTAACTTCACTTGATCCCAACAACAGTTCTGTAAGAAAGGTATTAACATTTCAAGCTGGAAATGTGGCTCAAGTGGTAAAGTGTCTACCAAGCAAGTGCAAGGCCCTGAGCTCAAACAAAAGAAAGGTATTATCACTTCTATTTTAGAGACAAAATATACTATGACATAGAAGGTTAAATAACTTGACCAAGACTATATATTTACCTGTTCAGCTCCAAAGGTGTGCCTTTTGTTATACCCTGTTGTCTCTGAGAGGGACCTAAACCAAAATAACTAACTTGGGAAGAAGCAGCTATAGCTATATGGAAGTAGACTATTCTTGGGAAAGTTAAGAAATAAAAACTTCTAGCCGGGCACCAGTGGCTCACGCCTACAATCCTAGCTACTCAGGAGGCAGAAATCAGGATAGAGGTTCAAAGCCAGCATGGGCAAATAGTTCATGAGACCCTATCTCAAAAAAAACCCTTCACAAAAAAAGGACTGGTGGAGTGGCTCAAGGTGAAGGCCCTGAGTTCAAGCCCTAGTACTGTAAAAAAAAAAAGAAAGAAAGAAGAAGAAGAAGAAATAAAAACTTCTAACTATGGCTAACTGGAGATTTAGGGCACATACCAGATGAACATATGGGGCAACTTCTAGAAATGCTAAATCATTTTGTGGTTTCCAAAAATCACTAAATTTACTGGTGAACCAAAACTCCCCTAGCAGCCAAGCAGAACCTACTTCTCCTGAAGGCAATGCAGACTGAGATAAGCCTTTTTCCCAACAGGTCCTAGGTAGGCTTCAAAAGGAAAGCTACTGCTAACAGAAAAGGACATGGCTTTGATCAAGACAGTTGGCTCTAAGTAATCCATAAGAGATGGACTGCCATTTTCATCATTCAAATTAAAAAGATAGGAAAAGGTGGATGTGGCTGCTACCAGTGATCTTAAAAAGGTAGAATGGAAAGAAAAGTTCAAGACAATATTTCCATGTGGCTAGAAGTTATCTGACAATTTACAACTACTGGCTTTTTTTTACAATAGTACAGATAATTGGTTTTTGTTTTGTTGTTGTTTGGCTATACCAGGGTTTGAGCTCAGAGTCTCATGTTTGCTAGGCAGGCACTCTACCACCTGTGCCATTCCACCAGTCCTTTTTTATGCTGGGTATTTTTAAGATAGTGTCTTGCTTTTTTGCCTGGGCTGGCCTTGAACCATGATCTTCTGGATCTCTGCCTCCTGAGTAGCTGGAATTACAGGTATGGGCCATTGGAGTCCAGCTATCGTACAGATAATTGAAGGCATACATTTAATTTCTTTTCTAAACTGTGCAAGTCACCCACTGTTAAGAATATAAAACCAGTTGCAGATGTCTTTCTTCTATTATGAGACAGTGGTTCATAAATATCACTGACTTTTTATATATTCTCTTACTGACTTCTGTTACCTTTCTTGACTCCCAACTATAAAGCTATACTTTGTCCCAGTAGTTCACAGGAAGGTACTATGTCTTCAATGATATTTTTTGTGAAAAATTATAATTATAGGAAAAATGATATAGTCCTTATCATGTGAAGAATATGTTACAAGAACACAAAACAACCATGCAAAGCCAGATGTGGTAACACACACTATAATCCCAGCACTCAGAAGGCTGAGGCAGAAGGATTATGAGTTTGAGCTAGCCTGGGTTACATAGTGAGACTATTTCCCAAAACAAAACAAATAAAAAACCATGCAGCCTCGTGAACCCCATTTTACAGATAAGAAAACAGAGGCTCAGCTAGATTAATGTCATTCAGCCAGTGGGAGAAAAGCTAAGACAACAATACATTCTGACTCCAGATGCTCAAACTCCTCTCAAGACAATTCTATAAATACCTCCAGATATAGGCCATATGACTGCAGTGCCAAAATCATAGAAAATTAGAGATATTTGTACTTCTTATTCCCATATAGACTAGAAATCTGAAGCCCAGAGGAATTAAGCCACCTGTTCAACATCATATAGTAGTAAACAGAAAAGACAGGACTTAGAGACCAGCTCTTCTGATTCTAAGTTTGGTGGTCTTCCTACCATACTTAACAAATCTAAGGGGGTAAATAACAAAAGAAAGAAAAAAAGATGAAGACTCCATCTTGATTAAAACATCTAACGCAAGCCGTGCAATATTGGCTCACACCGACAATTTTACTTAGGAGGCAGAGATCAGGAAGATCTTGGTTCAAAGCCAGCTGTGGCCAAAGGTGGGGAACAAAAAGAGAGACCCTATCTCAAAAATACTACAAGAGTGGCTGAAGTGGTAGAGCACCTGCCTAGCAAACATGAGGCCCCGAGTTCAAACACCAGTACCACACACACACACACACACACACAATATATATATATATATATATATATATATATAGTTATTTGAGCAAAGATATATGATCACTGGTTCAAATATTTATTGAGCTACACATTTAACACATCCATAGATAACACAAATGGAAGACATACAGCTAATGGAGAAATTAAAATTCACATAAATCTCAAAAAAGCTAGAAGGCTGCACCAAATCTCACAGGACCAAACTAAGTTAAGACTCATGCATGAGGTTCAAGAAAACCAAAAGCAAAGCAGTGACCAGAGGGGCGGCAACAATTCACAACAAGATCTGCCCATTTTATAATTGATCTTAAGTTTAATATGACCCAACAGAGTGACATAATTGCTTTCAGAGAGAGAAAGGGAGAGAGGGAAAATGAGGGAGGGAGGGAGAGAAACAGAAAGAGAAGAGAAGAGAGAGAGAGAGAGAAAGAGAGAGAGAAAGAGAGAGAGGTTGAGAGAGAGAGAGGATATAGGTTTAGATCTGTGGTCCATATCCAAAGATTATAGCTGGTCCTCCTACTAGAAATGGAGACCTTAAGATATCAGATTTTCTAAGCCATTCATTTTATAGAGGAAGAAAATAAGACAGTAGAGAAGAGAGAAATTTGTCATTTCACAAGCATAAAAAAATCCAATATTCTTTGAGTAACCATAAAGCACTTTTTCTATATTTACTATCACAATGAGAGAAACATTAATAAACTCAAACACAACTTTCTACATTGTTCAAGTAACCTACACCCAGCATTCACATTAGGCCACACATCAAATTAAGCCAAGCCCACTAAGTACACACAAGAACAGGGCATGGTTCCTGCTACAACTCAGAGCTAATACTACCTTAATTCTTTCACTTGTTTATTCAAATAATATTTAATGACATTTATTTTGTTTCAGACATTTGACATGCTGCAATGAGTAAGAGTTCCTGTCCTCTAAGGTCTTATCATCTAATAGAGTATACTTAGTGGAAAGAAAGACAAGCTAAGCAAGATGGCAATACAGGTTTGAAAAAGTAGTACTACAAGAGTGCTACTGTAGCTGGGAAGAGGAACACTCTTATTCCAGTCAAGGAGGAATTTCCAAGGACTACAGCTGTTTACCTTGAGGACAAGTACCAAGCAGCTCAGTTGAAAAGAGGATGTGGGCATTTCAGGCAGAAATCTGCAAGTGTTTAAATGACTGGGATACTGAGTACTTGTAAGGCCAAGACAGGAAATGAAGCTTGTGAACCAGACTGGAAGCAGATCATAAAAACCCTTTTTATATCATACTGAAGAATTTGAGCTTTCTTCAAAAAGCAGAGAGGAAGCCTAGCTGATTTTAAGTAGGAGAGTGACACAAATAGTTCTATATTCCAGAAAGATCACTCTGGCTATGGTTAGAACACAGTAGGGTAGGGG